CTAAGATTAATGTTCATGCTATGAGCACTCATTGAAGATAATTAGTCTTAAAGGTACTAAAGGTGAAACATTGCAGTAGGTTATTAATCATGTTTTTTTGCATCGCTGACTGGAGACACATGGTGTTAACTTCTTACAAGAATATGTACACCACCACTGCAGTTCTGTGCTTCACGGTTGTACAACAGATTCCATATACTGTAAGCAAGGGCAATTGGTTTTTTCATTTTCCCTTCTAAATTCGCAATTTATAAAACATGGATAAAACCAGTTTGAGATTTAATTATTTTGTTCTTGTTTTGGATTGTTTTGTATGCATTGGCTTAACGCACAGAAAGAAATCGAAACTGTTTTGTTGAAACTGATTCTCAGAGTTTATACTTGGCAGTTTTAACGTACATCAAAAATGGAAACATTGTTTTTTAACTTCTTGATGAAACCTTGACACCGTTTTTCATGCCGATTTTAGACCAGCAAGCAGACAACTCTTAAGATTGGCAAAAGAATATGGAAGGTTAGAACGTTAATAGCTTTTGAACCCAGGAATCTGGAGCTGGGAAGCTGTAGGGCTGACAACCACACCACCATTCTGCGTCATGTTGCAGCGCTGCACACAAAAAACAATTGCTTTGTGTTGTGCATCACACAGTGGGAGAGAGTGAGGTAGTAACAGTTTTGCTGTCCTTTGCTCCAGAGCAATGTAATGTATCTCATTGCTCAGCACAACAGAGTAGCAGTGCTAAATAAAACGGGGGAGATCATGCTGACAGTACAGCACACATTCCACTGTCTCTAGCACTGAGAGGTCCTCTATACCATATTCAACAGTGGCTGCAGTGCTAGAACAGGGTCAAATTGTCCAGCATTTTCTCCCCGTCAGGTTAAACTGAAAACCATCAGGGCCACATCTTGCTGCCCTCAAAAAATATAACTAGATGTCTCGCACAATGAAAACCACAGTGATCGCCTACAGAGTAAGGAATCACTGTTTCTTTGCCATTCATTACGCAGTCTTTCTTGCACTGCTGCGCATATGGTATTTGGCAGGGAGCAGATAAAAGCTCACAGGCTTCCAATAAAAAATAATGAAAGATACAGCACTGGCTGTTGATGCATTTCCAGAACCAGTGCTTGCCTGCAATTAACCTGGATTGTCAAACATTTTACTTCAGAAATAGCTACTATATATTGACACAATATAAAGACACTAACAACCTCCAGGTGGTTTATTATTAAAAGCGGTATTTTAGTTAAATTTAGATCAAATTAATTTTGCCTACCATCATTTATTTGAACTGCTACAACACTTTGGCTTAGGTTTAAATACGATACAGTAATTCAAAATGTAATATTAGATCTTGTGCTCTTTTATCAACACAATAGAATAATAAGATGATATATTGTTGCCTTTTAATACACAAGACCAAAATAACCACACTGAGGAAAGTGCAGGGATTTTCCCTGTTGTTCCTGTCTAGTTATCTAGTTCTCTTACAACAATGTCACACTACAACAGTAACAGTAAGACAACATTGTGTTTAATTCAGTTTTCCTAACTTAAAGGCATATTCATTAAAAATAAACAGGGCCTGCATTAGGCCTTTTGTACTTTGGCCTTTTGTCTTCCATGCTTAAATTACCTACTTATGATCTATTGCCAGATGTAAGCAAGCACCAACGATTCATTTCAGTCTCAAGTTTCCGTTACACTTGGTACAAACGTAGCTATCCTAGGTCAGGGGAGTCCAATCCTGGACCTGAGAGTGAGAGTTTCTGCAGGTGATCTAGGTCTCTTTAGTGTGGCAGCACCTGAACAGTTAATAGTTGAACAGCTATTAAATTGGTCCAGTAAGCCAGTAAACCAGCTGGACCTCCCAATACTAGGTTATGACTAGGGTAGGTTCTGCGTGACAGAGGCAACGTGTTGCACCATTCGCCTAATATCCTGGTTTGTCTCTATTAAATGGGGATAGGGCCTTCTCCAGTAGTTAGTGCGCCTGATAAATCCAGTTTCTAACAGCTCCTTCCAGTTCAGGGTTGAAGTGGTGCCAGAGCCCATCCCAGCAAGCACCGGGCGCAAGGCAGGGATGCCAGTCCATCACAGGACACACACCCTCACACCAGGGCCAATTTGTCCAGAAGTCAATTAACCTACCAGTATGTTTTTTGACTGTGGGAGGAAGCCCACAGGGACGTGGGGAGAACATGCAGACTTCACACAGACAGCACCTCAGGTTTGGAATTGAACTCGGGGGGCCCAGCGCTGTCATGCAGCAATGCTGACTGCTGTGCCACCATGCCACCCGTCATCTCTGCCCCTTTCACAATTACAAAGATACACTACAGCCTTTTCCTGTACACATGTACAGTATACGGTTTAAAAAAGACTGAGGGAGAATTCTGTAAATCAAATCATTCTCAGACTAACAGGCAATGAAATGACAAGCGGGGATATTCCAGGATGTGTTGTCAGTATGACAACGTGCTGTATGTGCTGCTCTGTCTGAGAAGCACATTCTGTTCTTCACTTAGTTGGACAACTCTGTGCTGGCAGCCATCCAGCACTCCAGCTGTGATGGAAGTAATCTACAGGAATCTGGAAGCAGACTGACAGATTAAAGGGAATGTATAAAAGCCCCTTTGCTAAACACATCTGTTCCATACATATTTAGGCTAAGAAATGACAACGAGCAAAATGCGTGCACACAATTTCACTGAAACACAGATTAAACTGAACTTGTTTTGATGGCTATGTTGCCATTCATAGTGGTGCCTGGTATTATATATTTGAATGCTGTTCCCAGGCAGAGATAGGAAGGGAAAATTGTTTTTTTGCACCCAGGCCCTTTTTTTTTTTTTCTAAAAATTACAGATGACCTCTGCTTTCTATTGCTTTATGTACTGTACACAGTATACCTACTCTCTGCATGAATCATTCAGAAGATCAGTCTACTTGACACAGATGTATCTGTCTGCTCTATTTTGTCATATGTATTTTTGTCAGAGCTGCACTATTAAATATGCAGAATCAAATATTAGTATTACAATTATTTTTTTCAGGCACTTTAAGTACTGTACTTTGGATTACTCTACGCGTTGCTGCAAAAGACACTGAATGTTGAACCAGATGTCACAAGATCTCATACAAATATAAGTTCAAAAACCTGCCTGAACCTCACCAAGGTTAACTACTGCTTCAGTCTGAAAGGAGAAGAAAGAAAACACAACGTTTCAGCTGTGGAGCCTTCTTCTGGGGCCCTCTTTTCTGACCTCCCCATCATCTCATGTCGCTGACCACCTAATCTGCGTAACCTTCTTGTTCACAGCTCCCTTGACCACCCTCAACAACCATCCACACCAGGTACTTTCCCTTGCAGCAGAGCTCGCTGTGTCACCTGCAAGTACACATCTAACACCACACTCACTCGAGGCCCCTCAGGACAGTTCCAGATCACCCAGGCGACTTCTTGTACCTCCAGCAACCTCATCTACTGTATCTCTACTGTATGTTGGGGAAACTGGAAGGAGACTAGGAGACCGCTTCAGAGAACATGTTAGGGTTGTGAAGATTAAAGATTTCTCCAAGCCCATAGTTTCTCATCTCACCTCAGACGGCCATGATCACACTGATCTCTCCATCTGCGTTCTCAAAGAAGGGTTTCTTAATTCCCATAGCTGAAATACATCAGAAACAAGAATGATCCTGAAACTTGGTTCGCACCTTCCCCCTTCTCTCGATGACCGACTTTTTGTGTTATCTTCTCTATTCACATGCAGGTTTAGACTTCACCTCTCTCTACTTCACACCTGAGTGGCCTCTCTGCCTCTCCCCTGCTGTCGCCTCCTCCACTCTCCCAGCTTTTGTTCTCCTGTGCTCTTTAATCTTTGCCCTGTCTTTCTCACACCCTAGGAAGGCACCACAGCCGAAATGTTGCGTTTTCTCTCTTCTCCTTTCAGCATGGAATAAGACTTGTTCCTTTGCAGCCTATGTGTGCTGACGCAGCTACCCGCTTGAACTATTACTTCAGTCTCATTACTTTCTGTTTTAGCAAGGTTGTGACATGCAGACTGCCCTGGGCTGAAGGTTTAAGTATCATTGCAAGAATGTACTATATATATTTCAAAATCTACATATGAAGATGCATTGATAACAATACTACTGTACATTTAGGCTAAAAGTCAGGGGCAGTCAAATCTTGCCAGTGCATCTTTGCATCAGGAGGAAACTAGGGCATGGGGAGAGAACGTGCAAACTCAGCATGGCAATTTGTCACACCAAAGTGCTGCCCCTACACCAAAGGAAGATTGCAAAATATTTAAAGGGACATAATGAGATTAGTAATAAAATGTCTTGATATAATACCAGGTTTTTGCATCTCCAAGATATTGCAAACTGCATTGTGGTAGGCATTTTTCTATTTTGTACAGCATTTTAAAAAAAAAAAAAACATTTTTAAGGCGCATAATCTAAAATCATTTTAAACTGTTAAATGAATATCCCAAACCATTAATTGTACTAAATGAAACGTAACACTTGTCAGATAAATCAGACCCATAATAAAAGCCGCTATTAACTGTAACACCTATGAGCGACCAACAATTTACCAAGCTGATTAAGCACACTGAAGTGCAGGAGACTTTGTACAGCACGTTCTCCGACACCGTCCTTGAAGATGCCAGGCTAGGACTAATTCCAGTCTTCCAAGGACAGGAACTTGAGTTGCAGCCAAGGTTTAAGCAGATGGAAGACATTTACTTTTTCTCCTACCTGAAATAGGTCCCACTGAGCTTTTATGTCCTTACATCCCAAACATAAAATTAAAAATGTACTTGTTTCTACTGCACTGTATTACACCTCTCTATTTTACACAACATTCCACATATTGTCTTACTGTACAACATCATTTCAAATTACCTACAACCTGTTAAGCTTGGCATTTTTTTTTTATGTAGATGATAAAATTTTGTACAAATACAAGAAAATGATCAGACTCAAAATATTAATTTTCTCCACTTTTATTTACAAAAATATACTCACTAGTTTTTTTTTTTACAAATAACAGTAAGGTAGTTGATAGTTTTTTTACGATGATATACATTATACATTTAAAAAATAACCCATCAGCAGCATTTTAAGTTGATCACTTTGCACAGCTTAAAAGATGTTCAAGAACCATATCTGTGCTCATAAAACTTACAAAACCTTACATTTTAGATATTTTGTTAAGAATGATTGCAGCAAAAAGTAAGGCCACATATTTTAATATTCAAAGTGCTAAATACAAATATCTAAAACTTACCAGGGCACTATTTGAAAATTAAGTGGCACTGTAGGCACATTATACTATTAAAGACAAACATAGCAGACAAATGATTTCAGTCCCACCTTAGGACTCTGCTTTCTGGATGGGCTTACAGCAAACCCGCGACCTCAACCAGGATAAGCAGCTTTCAGATAAAGGAAACACAAACCTAGAGATGCTGATAAAGCAGCTAAAATTAATTATTCCATATTGTAATATTTGCTCAAGTGCTCTATTTCAAATTAAATGTATATAGCACTTTAAGTGCATTTTTATGTAAGCATGGTTAGACCAAATTGTGGTTTCTGAATGTTTTAGTATAGGATCATAAATAACATTCCCACTCTTCTTCAATGTGAACTTCAACTGCAGTGTCACTTGTTGACAGCTAGCTACAGGAATGGATGATCCATGCACAAGGCATAACTTTAATAAGAGACCCATGAGGCACTTTACTTCACTTTACTTGGTCCAATTTAGACACTGCATATTTTCTAGTTGCTTGCTGCTTAGTCCTCTCTAACACACAATACAGATGATGCAACATTTCTTTAAAACAAGTGCTTTATATAGATAGGCCTTTTGTAAACAAAGACTGCCTGAAATCATACCATACTATGTCAAAATTAAGATCTAGGTGAACAAGACACTGTACTTTCCACTTTTGATCATTAATTTTCTTCACACACGTGTAAAACCCAACCTTAATATCCTGAGAATAACACAAATGAATTCCACCTAGTAAAATCCCAGAAAAAGATTAATTAAAACTGCAATGGTATGGGATATGAATTATATATTTTAAGTCTTTGGTAACAAAAAAACGTTGTCATGTTATTAATATCTATACTGTTTCCTCTTCCCTTGACAATTCATATATCCAGGAAAAGGTCAAGCATTTAGTTTCTTAGCTGTAAACATAATTGAACTTTCAGTTCAAAACATCCATTTACTGTAGGGTTTTAAACAAAGTTATGTCCCATCCAGGGTAAAGCACAACTTTTTTGAATTAAGGCTTTGGTTTTCAAAAGTGCAAAAGACACACTTGTGTCTATTGGCATTTCACTTGTATTAATAGTGAAACTTAAGATTTTAAAGCTATAAAACAGTATCATATTTGAACAAATTATGTGCTAAATAATTTACTCTTCTGTGCACATAAAACATACTGTCCTTATGACTGTTTCTTTTTAAAGATGTTTCACATCTTGTTAGACTTTACTGTGAATTGCATATTCACCCTTCACTTTCTTTAGCAAGAACACTTCTGTTCAGACTATCTTTTTGTCCACATTTTATTCTGCATTTCTTCTTTCTTCTCCAAGCTCACGCAAAGGTGCAAAAACACATTGGAAACAGAACTTCTAAATTCCTACATTCTATCTTCCATTTATTTGGAAATCTCACAATCACCCATCGAGGACTTGGTGCAATTCCTACAACCCATACTCATGCCAGCTACGCACTGTCATTGACCTTTCAATCCACAACTGTGGCGAAACACTATTTCAAAGCTTTCAGATTTATTCAAACTAACTGGAAAGAAACCATGAAATCAACTACCCTGCAAACGTGGCAGATATGTAGGTTTCAGACTGAAAACAGAACACGACCCCGATGATCATCAGTCTGGACTGGATGTGGGTCAATCTGCATTGGGAAAAAAAAAGCGATAAAGGTAATTTAGTCCTGATTACCAAAACACAATAATCCACTCTCTCGGTGTATCTAAAGCAAGTGCTATAACTAATCCAGAATTTTGAGAACCAGTTAGCACAACACTTTCTTAGCTTGCTGAAGACAAATTACAGAGGTTTTCATTATCAATAATCAAACAAAACTACAAAGGAACAAGATTCAAATTTGCAGAATCATCAAAAGCACAGTTAAACTCAACTCAATGGAATACTTCAGAATCAACAGCCAAACACAAACCAGATGACACAAATCTAAACTATAGGAAAATGTATTTGAAGATGAGTCTGGAACAAGTGGCCCAGCCAAGTTTAAGCTGATGCCATCGCTTCCTGCAGGGAATGGCCAAATAAGATCTGAGATACACCTTAACGAGTTACATTGACCAAACGGCCTCCTCTCAGCTATAAGCTTCCTGATTGACCATATACCATTTTATACAGGGAAAGAAATACAAACAATACAAACCTCTGCAATAATTCAGAACCTCGAGCTGCATGTAGCCATCAAAACCAGTGTATCGAAGTAATCAGTGTAAAGCTCACCTCTGAGTACAAAGGCGGTGGCTGGAACCTGAATTCCTGAATATAAGCGAATACAGGCCGCCCAATTTCACGCTCCAGCTCATCTGGCTCAGAGTTAGAGGGGGTGTGGCGCTCAAACTCTTCTTGCGACACGACATCTGCATAATTCGGAGGAGCTAGGGATAATAATATTTAAGAATTATGAGCCATGAAGAACAACAAACGTTGTGTAAAGCTGTGAATTCTAATAAAATAATTTCAAGCATGCTAAGAATTGATCTCCATTAAGCAAGCACCAAGAGTATGTTTTCTTGAAACGTACTAGAAACCATGTTTTGATGTTCCAAATATCATTTTTCAACAACCTGCGGTTTTGGAATGCATGGAAAGCAATAGTCAATATTATAACTTTTCCGTTCCAAATGATTTCAGAATGGTGTTCCTCCTCCCAACATCTCCTTGTCCATCTGCTAAAGCATCTATTATTCTGTTGAAATCGCACAAGGATAACCAGTAACATCGACACTCCCTTTACCGACACTTCCAAGCACAGTACAAACCATCAGGACAGACGGCGAGGAGATCGCACAAGGTCTTTGTGTTGCAGCACACCTCAAAATAGGGCAGCGAGATCATGCATGCCAATGATTGTGTAATGCTCAGCTCAGCATCGGAAATGACTTAACAGGATTGCAAGTAATTTCTCCTCACCTTCTGGCTGTTCAGGTAGCGCCAGAGTGAGCCAGCTCATGTCCATACTGAACTGGCTGCACAAACTTGAACTTCGGCTCCCAAACCCATTGTATGGTATGGTCCCGATAACCAAAGGAAGCTCTACTCTCAGCTTCTTTGCACCTGGAATCTGCACCAGTACCTAATAAGATCGAGTAGAAAAAGCATGAATTAAATCATAGGTTTTGTCAGTTTTATCAACTTACTTTTATTTAGTACTTGACTTTTTATCTGATGCTATGCTGACACTGTAAGCTTTATTTGGCAAATTGAAATATAAAAAAGATCCTCTTTAAAGTAATTCCGTGGATTACTTTCCAAATGTAAAATAAAATATTTATTTCAGAATACATTTTTTAATTCTATTTCAGACTAAAAAAAAAATTGCATTGAAAACATTACTTACTGCTAAAGAGTATTCAACTCTGATGATTGAGCAGTTCAGGATGGATGGAGTCACTGGGGGGATCTTCAATGTCTTTCCATTCCATGTGTCAGTGCTGCCTGAGCCAATATGGTTTCCACGCACACTGGCAACTTCCTGCTTGAAAGTTTTCGTTTTGCCATTAGCAAGACAGGTCTGAGTTTGATATATTGTGGCTTTTGGCACAATGAGACGTGAAGAGCAGTTCTCAATCTCAGCATAGATGGGGATTGCTTCTCCTGTTCAACAGATTAGAAATCAAATCAATACACTCAAAAATCAGTTCATATTTGACTTCATTACGTTTCAAGCTGAACCAGAACTCTTCAATCACGTGCCAACTGCAAACTGCAAGCCTAGTAGTACAATATGTTTTGTATCACTGATGAGCACTTCATTTTTTCAAGAAAACATTGTGACTTATATAGTTAACACTTTTGTCGGCTTAGCAAATAATAATGAAAGGCTAATACTATAAGCAAGATGGAGTTTGAACAATTTCAACAATTACAGAAACATTTTAACTCTTTATGACTATTCCACCATCATAATAGTATTTCAAAATGATCCCCTTCTCTTACCATTACAGTAGCCCTGTCTTTCAATTTTGGCACTCAGGAAAATAGGGCCTGAAGTGAAGAACCAGCAGCCGACCATCTTCTCTGTATTTGTAGAAATAGGCGACTGAACAAAAAAACAATCATTCGAACTATGGCTACACAAATGAACTCTGTAACTCTACCACAGAAACCCCAAACACATAATGAGCTTTTAGGTTTCTACTCACTGTTATATTAGCATACTAACAGTTCCTCTGATAACACGTTCCCACAGAAAAGGCCTTGAAGGTGAGGACTGATATGCTGCTTGTTAAAATTTGGTTTATAATCCCTTCCCTCCGAGATAAACTGAAAGAATGTAGAATCTTTGGATACCCAAAACAAAATTCCAGGAAAAAAAAACAAAAAATTAGGACTACGGTATTGTGTGTGCGAAAGCTTGCATCATGGCTGCTTAAAGCTGAAGCTTTTCTTATACAAGTAGATTGATTTGTTAGAATTATATGTTCAGCACTAATTAGCATTTTAGAGAAAGAGGCTAGCTGATTAGCTACTGGACATAACGTGTTTTACAAAAAAGACTTTGTCAATTCCTTTCAAATCACAGCATTCCAAGTGGGTACTAAAAGACAAACCGAATCAATGATGCTATTTATCTCCTAGGTCATTTGTAAACTAGCAATGTACTCAAGCAACTAATCATGAACGACCGTCCTGTATCTAAATAGGCATCTCACCAGTAGAGTTGGGGAGTTGACATCTACATGGCTGATAACAGGAAATTCTCTGTGCACAATAAGGTCCTGCATGGATGGCCTCTGTAAAATTGCTGATACCCAGTACTGGACACTTCCATGCTTCCCACAGAATGAGGTAACCAAGGGCCTGAAACACAGTAAATGTATAAAACAAAATAGTCATACAAATACATATACACAAAGACGTGGCCATCGGATCCTTTTTTCTTTGGAATGGGTATAACTGGTTAAAATCAAGAATTACCATGCCAAGACATAAGGTCCTTTCAAAGAAGAGCAATTTGTCACATGCTAGATCAGGGTTCTCCCAAAAAACGGTCTTCTCCGCCCAATCCCCATAGATCTCTTTTTCAGAAATAACATGTTATAGGTTGGATCACTGAATTGTTTTCAGATTTTAAAAATTGTTTCAGCTTACAAATATTAATACAAAAGTTTCAACCTCCCTACAACTCTAGAGATGAGACATTTTTAATTAATAACTTATTATGATAAAGATAGGTTACAATTAACCAATCAACAACTCAGCTCGAACAAAAAACAGACACTGGATTTAAGTGAACTTAGAACAGGAAGACCTGGGATTCAGATTCATTAAAAAACACCAAGTCTGGAAAGATGGTTTTGATGATGTGGAAAGTGGGGGCAATCAAGAAAATAAGTATTTTTTTTTGGCAGGGGGCAGGGGCATTATTTCTAATTTAATACTACCTTGTTTGCACATTATTTTCAGTCGAGGCCACTGATATTCCCTCTAGTTGTGGGTGGCTGCTGTGTCCTCTGGTTTTCATTGCTATTGCTATGAGTTACAGGACTTTTCCCTTTGAAGATAATAAGTTACTTATAATAGCTGGTGGGTGGCATCTCTCCAGGACTGTTCTAGACAGGAGACTGGACTAGAATAAGTTATATCTACAGAAACAAGGTTTCTAATTGTTATCTGAAACTATAATGAAGGCCTTGAGAATGATTTTTTTTTTGCAGGCTTCTACGAATAATATTTCGGATTCTAGTTCACCAGTTGTGTGTTCAGCCACAATTCTAAATTACTAATACCTTTATCTGAAGAGGGGGGTGTACACAGACATAATAATTCTGAAACTTTAAACAATACGTGTTTAAAAGCTTTCTATGCCAGACATACTGGGTAAACATTTTCTTAATACAGGACTAAAGGAAATGGCACACTTGCAAAAATCTGAAAAGTGGAAATATACTTCTTTCAAATTGGTCCACTAGATGCTTAGCATCAGTTCTTCTCCAGTGACCCTCTCCCAAACTCTGATGAAGACGGGATATGAAACCTCCACCATCCCTTTGATAACTCCTCGGTTACTCACCCCTGTGGAAGCTGAAAGCTGAAAGGGAATTCGTGCTTCCCTGAGGGCAAACAGATAAAACCTTCGGCAACGTCCTCGCCTGCAAACCCAAAGAAAAAGACAAGTCTTAAAGGGCTGGTGTTCAAAAATACTTTCAGGTTCGGAGGAGGGTTGAAAGTCTGAGAAGAGAATTTTCAGACAGTGCACCTTCAGCTTAGCCTGAAAGTATTAGTCAAGATGAAAGTGAAAGTTCCCAGAAAATCAGTTCTGTGGTCTTACTGTACTAGCCTTGTTGAAACTGATATTTTGCCACTGGGTTACTCATTGCAAAATAGTGTTTATAAATAGCATCTTAGTAAACACTACAGCATCAGTGTACACACATGAGAATGTCACCTGTACTTGAACTAAGAGCGGTTATTGTCAACAGCATGAGTATCACTTTGCATATGGGTAATACGATTCACAGCAGAGACTAATGTAATTCTCTGGTGTAACTGTAGTAATACAAACATTTCCTAACTGTAACCCATGTAAGAATACATGCCAGTTCATGGCTATGTGTTACATTAATCTGCAATGGACAAAAAAACTAAACACCTTTTGTACTAGTGCACCTTAGTAAAATACTAATATTGAAGCCTCCCATCATTTTCTCCTGGACCGATATAGTTTGAAGGAAAAAAAACAGATTGTCCAACAGTCAGTTTCTTATCTGGACAAGTAACTTATGAGAACAAAATTGAAGACTACAGTAAGACCTGGACGTTACATTTAAACACACTGCAGGCACAAGGTTTCTGTATTGTCAGTCACAATATCAATATCATGTTTTGATTCTGAACCATGGTAGAAACACAAGCTTTTACAGTTGAGTTTTCCCTTAATCGTTTTAGGAAGTCAACACCACTTAGAAAACAACTGTCATGCAGGACAGTACGCATGGACGTCTTCCCCCGTTTTTCAGTGCTTCTTTTATTTTCCCGACGGATTCAACTGGCGATTTGAAAACGCCTCTCGCATTATGGGCCAGTTCAATTGAACCCCTCAAATCTGAAGGAAAAAAAAAAGAGCTCTGTTCTTCCACAACACCAGTTCCCCAGTGACGAAGCAGAGCCACGGGCGCTGAACAGCTCTCGACCATGTGCGCAATTCGGATTTCCGTCCCTGGTCTCTGCAGTATGCCTGTGTGCACGCACTTGCACATCCTAACAAACACATGCAAGGCATGAGAGTTAACCTGGGTTCACAACACCATCGTCCCAGCCCTTTTCAAACGGACAGTCGAAAATAAAGGTCAATATCACCCGAGTTGTGTGCATGTGTATATATACTGTACTGTATACACCCGCAGTGAAGTGGGTAACCGTACTCAAGACTGTTTAAGTCTGTTTCAAAGCGCATCTGTGTGGTGTCCCTCCATCGACCTTCAGGTGTCAACGAGCGTCCTTTGAGAGGCTCTGTCCCTTGAGATTCACGGTTTCCCCGGGTGTGTGTGAGTGTGTGGGGTGAGGGTGGGGGAGATACGTCTTTTACCTGTCGCTCCCGGGGGAGTGTGGGTGACGTTCAGGTAGTCGACCTCCTCCCTGTAGCCGTGCCCCGGGGATGGTGCCGCTGGGGCAGACCCCGGCCCGTCGGTCCAGCTGGCCCGGGCACAGCCCCTGCCCAGCACCCGGAGAGCCCGGATCCGCGCCGGCACCGACAGCTCCAGGAGCACACGCCCGGACACGGCCTCCCCGCTGCCGTAGGCACTCCCGTCCTCGCTGTCGAACACGATGGCCAGCGCCTTCACTTTGACCACCATGTCGGCGTCCCCTCGGCCCACCTGCAACACAGCGCAAACGGCCGGAGCCTTAGAGCAGACGCTCACGAATAAAAGGTTAAATCGGCAAGAGCCGTAAGTGTGATCCCAAAAAACATACCGATAGTCCCGATATTTGTTTTTGACTCCCTCCAAAAACAAAAATCCCTTTCAGGTGTTCCTCCCTATTTTGCTTTTTTTTTTTAAAAAAAGTTGCTCTTAATTTAGCGCTCTGTGACTTGATTCAGCCTCGGGGCTCAGTCATATGTTAACTGTCGAAAACACCGACTCGACCGCCTTCTTCTCGAAAATAAAACACCGGTTCTCATTGAAGGGGTTACTTGTGCCGCCCTGACTGGACATCTGAAACATAACGCAAACTGTGGGGTTTTTTTTAGTCTTGGTGCAATTCATTTAAAGAGTTACAACAGAGATCGGAAAGAGCCGCGACACCTGAGCTGAGCTTCTACTGTTGATACATTGAGCAATCACGCCGAGGCCGTCTGACAGCCCTTCGGAAACGCCAAGAAACCGAAATTCCTGCGCCCATTGGTCTACGGATCTGTCTACAACAAATAAAGGCGGGATTCCACCGAACACTGCGTTTCGGATTGGATAGCACCTCCGGGAGTCACGGGGGCCGACCCGCTTCGTGAAGATACAGGGTGAAATTTACTAACCTGCGTGATCAATGGCTATTGACCAATGAGTAGCGAGTCCCTTCACGTGACCACCTTATGATTGGCTTCTGGAAGACATTGGAAAGCGCGTTAGCCAATAACGGGCAGCTTTCAGGCGTGTGAACAGCCGATGGCCAAAAGACAGCCGCTGGAAAAGGGAGTGACACAATGTCTGTTTCCATAGAAACGGGATGCGGATGACGCGGATATAAACAGTACCACGAGATGCGCAGGGGCTAGATTATATATATATATTTTCAAAGTTTATTGACAGGATTAAACTAATTGAGGTGCGTCATCTGGATGTCAAAGGGGTCCTGTTAGAATACGTACAGTACGTGTACTAGATACAACACACATATCACAAAAAAGAAAAATAAGAAAAACAAAAGCAAATGAAATTCAAACTATACAGCTGTCATGAAAGGCTGGAATTAACAAAATCTGAAGTTTAATAAGAGCGGAATTATTTCAATTACAAGAGAGTTCTGTTTTTAAATACACAAATTAAACTCATTGTTCATAAGGTAAATTATTCCAATCCTTCAGAGCTTTATAGCTAAAAGCCTCCCTCTCATAATATACTCATACAACCTTCAAATATAAATCAAACTGGGTTGGTCTTTCGTCTGATATCATTATGAATATTATTATCACTGATCGGCTTTATATATATAAATCGGTGGAGCACAAAACCCAGTGGGGCAGAGTGATATTTTTTGTGTGGAGCAGTTTAAAGGGGTCTCAGATTGAGTTCCTGTAGGCCCCTTGCAACGTCGTCTGTTTGGGCTCTCAGTTCCAGATTTAGTCCAATTATTATTACATTTTTAATATCTGTAATGTTTCTAACCAGACCTGGAGGCATTTTATAGGCATCTTTGGCATTAATTAAGTGCATATTCTTGAGTAACAGACAAGTAAAAGACCTTAAGAAAAATCTTCTATATCTCTCAGAAAACGCTAAGGTTCATCATTTAATTAATGACTCAGATCGGAACAAATGAAAAGACATGACTAGATCATCTGTAAACTAGGAGACTGAGATCCCCTGTTAAAATCTTATAGCCTGCAACACCCAACTGGCAGCCCACTGAAACTCAGCAGGTGTGAGCCTAGCCAGTACCTGGATGGGAGACTCTTGAGAAAAACTAAAGTTGCTGCTGGAAGAGGTGTTAGTGGGGCCAGCAGGGGGTGCTCACCCTGTGGTCTGTGTGGGTCCTAATGCCTCAGTATAGTGATGGGGACACTACTGAGGGGGTTCAAATGTTTGTTGTAAATTATCCTGAAAAGATAAAAAATAATAATTCTAACACATGCTTAAGGGCAGTTATCTTCAAATCTTAAGCATGGGTCCCTGCACATGTGGATTACTCCCGCAGCTGAAGTCAAGCGCTGCTCACAAGTGTCACAGCTAGGCCTCCCGGTAAGTGAGATTAGGAAGGCAACGTCTCCGTTTTTTAATTTTTATTTATGCATAACAAAATAACAAAAAATACAAACAAGAATACATATAACATTTCAAAACAAAAACATCGTCAGGGGTAAACATTACAAAATAAATTCAAATTATGAAAAAAGACTAAACAAGTTAAATAAAAATAACGTCCGCACCACTTTCATATTTTTGGATTTTGAAAAAGTCTGCAGATACTCCATTACTTCCATTTTAAAATGCTCAAAAAAAGGGTTCTTTCCAGACCACTTTATTTTGTGTATATAATAGCGTCCTTTTATAATAATTTCATTTATTACAAACGGTAATAACTTAATAACTTATGGCTGAAACTTAACATAACGTCTTTTTCATCAAAACAAATATCAGTTTTGGTTTCTTTTTTAACATAAGTCTGCAACTTAGTCCAGAAAGTCTTTACCCTGGGACATAGCCAAAACAAAAGAGACAAAGTCTCTATCCTGTCTTCCACCTCGCTCAGGGCGGGGAGCTATGGGATACAACAGGGAGCGATTCGGGGAGGTAAAGTGGACAAGTGCGCCAGTAGCACCAGACACATCTTCATCCGAGCCTTTCTTCCGAATTTCAGAATTTTTTAAAATACAGAAACTTTGAATTACAACTTCCCACACCCAAAGGTGGATGACTTCGCCAAAATATTGGCAGCCCGTGCTTTTAAAATATTCGTGTGTTTTCAGGGGACGGCTCGTGGAACACGAGGCCGTGTTGCTGAATTAATTCAGCTGCAGAAACTGCGGCCCGGCAGGTTTCCCACTTCTATTTCTTTTCGCACCGTTGAAAAGGTCCTCTCGCTAGCAAAAAAAAATGTATACTCGCAATTAGAAAATTATATTCTAGAAGGGTATATTCTATAACTAGAAAAGTACATTCAAGAATCGCAGATAAAATCCTTTCCCAAATAGTTTTCTTCGTTTTTTGAAAAGATTCATTTTAATTCATTCAAATTCCACTGCGGTGGAATGACAGTCACAAACAGGGCGCCTGAGTACCCAGACTGCTCACGTTGTCCACACTGTTTTGATGTCAGTATTGTTTTGAATGTATTTCACTCCATTTTTCTCTGCAGCCGAATTAGCGGTGGGCTGTTGTTTGACAATAAACCACGCCCCTTCCTATGAATATGCATAGGCGACCCTCGAAACTCGCCCATTCGAGGAGCAGAGGAACAAGTGATAGGTGCCCCGAAGAAAGCTCCACGGCCGACAAGTTGTGGTTTCTTTCTTCTCTTTATGAGCATGGAATAAACCTATTACCTGTTCGTTTGCAGCCTACGCATGCTGGCGCAGCTCCCCACCCGAACTACATTCGAGGAGCAATGCGACTATGCCAATTAACCCACACAACATGTATTTGGCAGGAAACCGGAGCTCCCAGAAAGAAGACCCACGCGAACATGGATACACCATGCATACTCCTCTTAGACAGACCTCTGGGAAACGAGCACAGGACCCTAGCAGTAACTGCCAGTCCCCTACATCACTCCTAAGCATCATCCTGTAAGCATTAATGAAAATCAATATTACCTCCATAACAACGATCAGCTGCAATTACCCTTTTTTCGCTTTGTGGCTGTTGCGGCTCTAAAAAACATAATTACAGTATTTCATCTCGAGTCTGCAATAGAGAAGTAGTGAGCGGCTAATTTAAACATTCAATAAATTGTTTTTAGATGCGATTCATCGCATACATAGTGCCAAGTTACAGTTTTTCTTATATTACTTTATCTTGGCAAATATATTTATTATGATATAGAGATTGTGAGGAGACGCCACTGATTAAATCTGCGTTGCTCTCTGCTGCCACCTTATGACCAATCAGTACAATTGCCACTGGAGTTAATCTTAATGACGAAGGAAATAAATCCTAACGGAAACCAAAATATTCCAATCATGTAAAGCAAGACTTTAAATTGTTCTATGCAGCTGGTAAAACAATTTTAAAAATACGTTTTAAAGTCGGTCATTTCAAATTAAATGACAAATGATGATGAAGTCATTATTATGAAGTCATGTTGATGATTATTGTGAATTGTGGTTTTAAAAGACTTGAGTAATATTGGTAAAAAGGCAGTATGACTAAACCAATTACCACTTATGAAAGACACAATACCAGCACTGTGTAGAAAAAAAGAGCTTTTGAAATATATACATACTCCTTTTTTGGTTATAATGAGTTGAATATAACTATATTTTTATCAAGAAGAGGAAACTACTCCATTTATTTATTTCCTTATAAAGTGATGTAATGACCAACCAGCTGATTGTACCATTAAATCTTTGAAGTGGTTTAAAATACAATTGGACCTAATTATCGTATCTTGCCCATTAGAAATACTTTCCTTGGCTTGAAGAAAGTGCTACATTCCAGGCTGATTTTGAAATCCGTGCAATTTGTCTCTATTTGTTGAAAAAAAAAAACATAGAAACATTCTTAAAAAAAACACACCCCTCAATTTTTTTAGTGTACTGAAACCTTATAAAAAGCCTTGAGAGTTTTAAAAGGAAGTGGGCATTACAAATGTATACTGCGGCGCACAGGAAGATTAGATTCTTTGTCATAGGCGAAAGGGGGTCAAAACCAGGTCACCAGAACCAATAAACTCAGTTACAGAAGCCATAAGCGTTGAAAATGTGAAGGTTTGGAGCTCACCTAGTGTGAGCTGCAGCGAGCAGGCTGTGGGATGCTGTAAACTCCCCTGTGGGTTGATAGATACGAGATGACACGCTCCCCTCTTTACTGCTGAATGTTCACTGAACTTTCTGGCAGAAAGGCAGCCTCTAAAGTGGGTTCACCCGAAGGTTAATATAAACAAACAGCAGAAAATGGTGAGCCAAGGATTATTAAATGTTGCTCTGACTGACAAATCCTTCATTGCCATTAGCCCCTGGCCTCCACCTGCTTTACGCCTATACCCAACTCCCAAAAATGTTTTAGGCCTTCCTAAATTTTTATACTTGACAGCCTTTATTAAAGACGTTCAGGCTGTACACGGTAATGCAGTCGAATATTCCTCACGCATGACTGTTGAGTCACAGGAAACTGCCGGTTATTTAGGGCTTATGTTTTGTTCTGTTCTCCCACCCTGAATAATACACATTGAACGTTTTATTCATGCTGCCTTGGGAAGGTCATTAGATATAGCGCATGGGCTTGAGTGTTACGAAATTAACACTAAAGAGGCAGGTTAACGCAAATTCTAAAATTCTGAAATTTTCCCTCTTTTGTTTTTTTTGTTAATAAATGTCACGTCGCCTCAACGCATTCTAGTTTGGCTCTCGAAATAATTACATATTCAGTTTTAAAAAGCTTAATTGGGGCACAATTACTTAATTAACCAGCAGTGTTCTGTGTGTGGTAACCTGGATGATTCACTCACAGTATGGTAATCGTTTTAATAATGA